TGGTGATAAATCATCACCATAGTGGCATCATAATTTCAATATTATCACTGATAATATGAAAATTATGGGAAGAAACGTTGGGAAATCCTCAGCGAACTTCTACCCGAATTAGTATGTAAGCTTCTATAGATAGTGAGAAAACTCCTGAGCTCAGCTGGGGAAAGCGAACATATTCCTACTCCAACACGAATTCATACACTAACACTTATTCAGAAGGGAGCTGCCCACAATATTCGCTCTCTCGAGGACGCCAGGCTGGTCCAGGACCTCGAATCGATCAATCACCAACGCGAAAGAGACGACTTGAAAAAGATGGTAAGAATTATATAGTGTCGATCTCAACCGCAATTGTGTTGAAGGTTGAGTCCTTACAGAAGGAACTTGCAGAAGCAAGGAAACATGTCGAGAGAAAGCCTCGGCCCAGCCCGACGACTGTGACAGTAGCTAAGGAAAATATTCGAGGTGGACGCGAAGTTTGAACATTCTTCTTGAGTCACTTCGAGTAGGGTCGGAATTTTGGAGGCCACCTCTGCAACTGGAAGCACTGAAAGCTTCTATTGCATCTTCCGACTCCTCCGCTCCGCTGATCGGTGTGTTAGTGATAGCCTGTCGAAGAGCGCGCTACTTGGAGAGGGCCCTCACGTCGTTTACTGAGAACCGTCCCGATGGTGGGCGAGGTCCCGAGTTCTATCCTCGGTTGAGATACTTTTAGCATCTCAACTACCGATTGTCGTGTCCCAGGATGGATTCGATCCTGGAGTGCGAAACCTCCTGGAGAGCTCAAGATGGGCCTCGGTCGTGTGGGTGCCCACGATTGTCGGTAACGCATGGATCAGTCAGATATAATATGCGACATGAACAAGGGAATGGTAATGGTTACGAGAAGCTAGCACAACACTATGGCTGGGCCCTCGGCAGAATGTTTGAGTATCTTGGCTTCAAGCAGGTAAGATACAGATGATGTCCGATGAATGCCACTTACCTCTGCGTGCTTGATTGAATGACGAGGCCTCCAGTACAGCATAGATACGAAACGGTTGAGAGTAACATCATTACAACAATACGAATTGATTGCGCTGGGCTTGAAGCTAATGGTGTACAATACATTGTTATTCGTTTATTGGATCCCGTGGAGTTATGTCTTCTGCATCATGATTTGCCTATCAAACCTGAACGCACTGTAGGTCATCATCCTTGAGGAGGACATGGAAATCGCGCCTGATTTTTTCAACTACTTCCTAGCAACTTCGCCTCTCATCAACGCAGACCCTAAACTCTACTGTGTGAGTGCCTGGAATGACAACGGCTACGGCTCGTCCGTTGATGACCCCGAAATGGTGTAAAACTGACCCGCGTCGTTATCCTATGGTAGTGTTCCCTCTGGTAGGTACCGTAGTGAGTTCTTCCCGGGTCTCGGATGGATGCTGACTGCAGATTTGTGGGATGAAGTGAAATCCCGATGGCCTTCTGGGTATGCCCATGTACGTCATTCACATCGGTATGTGTACCTTCTCAGCTACTGGGATGAGTTCATGCGGCGACCTGATGTTCGTAAGGGTAGACACTGTCTCAGACCGGAGATAAGCCGGTGGGAAATGTTCTCACCGTGTTTAAGTGTATTCTTCTGTGTGATGAATTTTCCGTAGCTTATTCTTGAACCAGCCAGTCAGATTTTTGTCGCGAGGCATGTCATGCCTCAGTGATGGAGCTTCGAATAAACTATGTTATACCATACCATTACCGATTTTAGATCATACACGTTTGGTGAGGAAGGACAGTCGCAAGGGCAATACTTCGCAGCACATCTCTCACGAATAAAACTCAACACTGAGCGCATCGATTTCGTAGCGAATGCTCCTCGCCTGCTCCACCACGTCCGGAATGAGGAACTCTTCGATCAATGGGTTATTAATCAAGTGAGAACTCTTTGGGTCAGGCTTAGGGATTGGCTAAACTTCAGTGTGGGGGGATATGTAAATGGTCTACTACATGTTGATGGCATTATGGAAATTTTGAGGAAGTTCTGGGGATTCTCCAGTGGGGAAAATTCTCATTCGTTTCCGTACACTTCTACCCGACTTTGTATGTGAATTTGTATAATGGATGAGGAAACTCCTGTAGTGAACACTGCGGAGAGTGAACATATACTCAAACACTGCTCGGTACATGAATTTTAGATGACCACATGCGTGCAAGTGACTCTGTTGACTCTCGATGGTGAGCTGTCCTCGAATGAAGGGAAATGCTTCCGTATTGAATACAGAGATAGCATGTAAGCAACTCATCGAAAGTCCAGTATTCACCGAGAGTTGTTCTAATCGTCGCTCAGGTATCATCGTTTTGCCGGACGCTTCGGGCTGATGCCGGATGAAAAGGAGGGTATCCGCCGAACGGCTTATAAAGGCGTCCTCATATTTCATTATAAAAAGCATCGGATATTTCTGTATGACAACTGGGCGTCATCTCTCCCATTTGCATTTGCTAAGAATGTTACGTAATGT